TGTGATGCCCTGTATCTACTGATGTAGTACCCTAGCGAAGACAGTTTATAATTTCACGATCCAATGATCTTAAAAGCACTTTTGGGTGACAGATCCGTGAAATTACAAGTGATATCAAACTTGACTCAGGCCCACTACTATGCTGGAATTGTGGGTCTTGTGTTACATATTTAGGAGCATGAAAGAGGATAGAATGTCAGTGGTCTGTGAGATCTTTTTTGGACGAAAGAAATGAAAATCAGTTTGTGATTTGGCTTGAAAGTTTATGTTGCTTCCATGGGAGTTTGTGCGTGACACCATACATCTTGCATCATAATGCCTTGGGGAAGATCATGGTAGGTATTTGTGGCCAATGATCTAGTACTTTTAATTGGCAGGCCATGGTGTTATAACCATGTTAAGCTCATTATAATTTACCATATTTTTTCATTTTACAAGCCACTATTTTAGGGAAAAAGAAATGCACTATCACTATTTTCATTTTAGATATTTAACATGTTCAAGGCATTTTTTTAATAATTCAACACAAACACTATAGTTAACTAAAATTACTTTTCTTGCCATCTCATATTTACTCATAGTTTTTTTAATTACCTGTCCAAAGGATGACAGATGCATTGATTACCGGAGATCTGGGTTTTGGTGGGAGTCTTCTTGATTTGTTACTTGTATGGTCTTGGGAATCAAGATGCAGTTCTTGTTTGTATGGCTCATGCTTGGTGATATTCTTTTAGGACATAACTATAATTTTCTGGCTGTTTTGATTTGTTTCTCTTGTAATTTTATCTCATTTGATCCAGGCGAAGGATAATGTATTACCACATGGAGATTTTCAAAAAGGCTGACGTGATAGTGACTCCTACAACTGGGTAAGTAAGCTAAATATTAGCAACTAGCAAGTAAAGAAAGCTCCTCTGAATCAACTGCATCATAACATGCCTTAATCCAATTAATTCATGGAGTTTGGTTATAAGTCGTTTCTTCCAAAATATGGTCTGAGCAGATTCTAAAGATCTTTCCTGAAATCATTACCCTATGACATTTGTTCATATTAACTGGTAAATTTCTAGCCTTAAAATTTGTAGGTCTGATTGCTAAAACAGAAACTTCAAGGTCTAATTAGGTCTAGGACTTGTCTGGGGATCTATTTTCATTTGTTAATTGGTGCAGTCATAGTTGGTATTTCTTTTAACATTTTTTTAGAACTGCTATAGGACTTGGTCACTTATCTGTTTATATATAGTAGATTTTTAAAATTTGAGTTGGCTTTAAGATTCTGCACATTTTTCCGAGTAAATACAAAGTTTTTGCTCATCAGTTTCCTGCTAGAGCATTGGGTCACTATTTATAGTTTGCATTTCACAAATGCTTTTGTGAAGTTTTTTAATTAAATTTACATGGCTTTTTGTGTCTAACAGCATGACAGCACCTATAATCCCTCCTAGTGCCCTTAAATATGGGGAGACAGATATGCGTGTAACAGGTTTGTTTTATGAACTTCTTTAAACTTGTAGCCTGCAAACAAATTGTCTCAGTTATTTTTCTAGAAAAGATGCATTAAACTGAACTCTTAGTTTCTGGATCAGTAGATGATGAGAGTGGTAAGAAATTCTCTTAAGAACTACCCTTAGGAGTTAAGAAGGGAAGAAAAATGTGTTTCATTTTACACGTTTGCTCATTCTCACAGTCGATTGCCTAAGGAAGTTGACAAATTGCAATAATGCAAATCATTTTGTTTATGAGAAATAGAAGTGTGAACAATGACAATGATGGTACAAAAGGTTCTTCCAAATCTTGAACTTATGGTCATTTTAATCTTAGTGGGACGAAGTAAAAGCATATTTGATTGTATAAGCCGCACTTGCTGGGTCCGATTAATACTCACTATCAGTCATGTTTTGTTGGTTATAAAGACTTGGCAATAAAACAAATTCGCAAACTGAGTTGTCTTGATGCAGAACTCTGTAAGTGTAAATAAGTTAAAAGATCTTTTTAATTTTTATAACTTAAGGAAATAGTATTTAGGAGATATGAGTTATTTAATCATTCAAGGTTTAAAACATTTTTTCTTCTGCTAATTGTTTTCTATTTTAGTTTGGGTTAGGACTTGTATAAAAGGTTTCCAATCAACAACTTTAAAATCTTGGAAGTGATAATTTTCTAGTGAATTTATTTCTTGTTTTTATATATTATTTTCTCTCTCTATTTTTCCATGCCTACCATGATATTTTATTCTCTCTAAAGTCTTCACCTTGATCCTTTTTTTCCTCTATCTGTCTATTCTTCTGATCTCTTTCCTGTATTTTCCTTTAAAAGATCTGTTGTACGACATCCAATTCCAAAATCAATTTTATGCATATGATCTGCAATGAGAAAAATACAATTTTATGCATATTTGGGTCCTCTTTTTCGGTCAAAGGCAACAGTTCGCTGTGGAAGAACTTATTATATTCTTCAGGCAGTAATGGTCACATGTACTCAACAATGATGCCGTTTTAGATTTGAAATTATGTATTTTCTCCTTCTCCAAGATTTCTGATGCATCACTTACTTGGTTTCAGGTTATCTCATGAGTTTCATTCTTGCAGCAAATCTTCTTGGCCTACCAGCCATTACTGTTCCCGTGGGTGATACTTCTCTTTTCATTTGAACTAAGTAGTTTGAAGAATTTGACTTTTACCAAAAGGAAAATACTAATATCAAGTTCACATCCAAATGTTTTTTCTTTTCTCTTCCTTTTTGAGGGGAAACATATCCAAAAGCTTTTACATCCTTGTGGACCAAAAGGGAAGGATTCAATCTTTTCCCACTAGAATGTCTTTCATGGAACTTTGGAAAGAAAGTTTATATTTTAGAGTTTGATAGTTTTTCCCAGGTGTATATACAAACGACCTATACCTTGTCGGGAGCACGTTTTAGGGTAGGTATTAGCACTCTATGGTGACTGAGGGTATGAATAGCAGAAAACAAAGAGGTAGAAGGACAAGGAAGCTTTATTAGCTTATATTAATGATTGTTTTGCTAGGTAATATTTACTCTTAAACTTTTTGAGCCCTTCTAATGATATTCCAGGTTGGCTATGATAAACAAGGACTTCCAATCGGTTTGCAAATAATTGGCCGTCCATGGGGAGAAGCTTCAATTCTTCGATTAGCTTCTGCAGTAGAGGTACAAGTTCTCACATCTTCCAGACATTATATATATGGAGGCTATAGGATCTTACTAACCCCTTTTGTATCTCTTAAAGGAACTCTGTGCAATGAAGAAACAACCTGTATTATTCTACGATGTTTTGAAGTCAAAATAGAACAGCCCAGCTTCCAAGATTGAAATCTGATATCCTCTTTGCAACATTGTTTGTGACATCTCTTTGCCAGTACAAGTAACTCCAAAGTTTCAAGGATGTCATGCAGATTGATAACTTTTTATCCCATCATCTCTGGTTAAACGCCTTTCTTTTCTGGGATAAATTAATCTTTTCGCATTGGCTTTGGCTTTTAATACTTCCATCTTGGCTTTTCATTAACTGAAAGTGACTCTCATTTTGGCATCTACTCGGTGTCAAAAGATGCTATCTATATCATTAACCATGATGTGAATCTTTACTATATTAAACAATCTAATACCTGCTCATTCAGAAATAGCAAATAAAAAAAAGTTGGTAACTGACATTGGCTGGCAAAAATATCTGTTTTTATTATTATTGGAAGAGAAAAATATGAGTTATTAGTAAAATTCACAAACTTGTTTTATAGATCTATGAAAATGCTACTGAAATGGGACACCACATCTAAGAATACCTCTTGGATAAATTTGCAGATGGAACCTGAAGATGGACAGGATACTCTGTTGTGAGTGTCCAATACAATTCTGCAACGTTTTCCACTTTGTTTCAACTCCAAACAATTTCTATATCATTGTTTGTACACATCAAAATGCACCTAGCTTGCTATAAAAAATAGGATGGTGCTTTAGTCACTGAATATCACAATACAACATGGTATGCAAATATGAATCATAGATCTTAGAATGGGTAGAAATCCCAGGATAAATACTGCAAGCAGAAATCCCCACCTTCCCACACTAAATGATGAATATTATAATGTTCTAAGTCAGACGGTAAAATTTGTATTGGACTCTCCCTCCTCATGGAGCTTCTTGTCTGCAACATCACTGGGAAGATCAAGCTCAGCAGGGATCTTTCCAGGATAATTAGTTGTCGAGGGATCTGACCCCATCATGCTGCAGATAAAAGGAAGTGTGTAATTATCCTAAACAAGCTCCAATGTGATATCAGTAGCATTTGATGAGCAGAGGGCAAACTTGCCTTCTATCGACAATGATCATTGACCGCAGCTCACAATTTGCGAAACTGAAAGATAATACATAGTAAGATTGTATTATCAAACACAAATTAGATTTCAAAATACCTTTAGACCATGTTCAGGACAAATCAAACTTAGAATTTTCCTACGAACTTAATTCTCATCGTTTTAGATAAAATTTTTACTTTATTGAAGTTAAATTTAGATATTTTCATTAAATTTAGATATTTTCATGTGAATTTTACAAAAGTTCTTGGCTTGGAATATAGTGATAAGTGTTACAACAACGAGATGTGTGCTAGTGAGTCAATTTCTCTTTCAGGCCCAGAAACATTACTTAGGACAAAGGATGAGCACAATAGAGTTTTTGGCAGCAGTATCTCAAGCAATTTCAAAAATGACAAAAACAAAAAAACAGAAAAAGCAAAAACTAATGCTGGAAAGAAATGTGTGCACTATTTTGCTATAGGGAAAAAAGGCTTCCATTATATCTCACAATTAAGATTGGGGGAATTGTCAAGAGACAGATCATCCATAACCTGCAGGTGGTTGAAGAATGCAAATCAAGATATTTTAATAAGTAAAATTTGGGCATTATTGATGCGTACTGTTTGCATATTTCTTTCTTCACAACTGGATGACAGTCATTTCCAAATGCATTTAACGTGTGGAACAAGAATCCACTGTGAGTAACAACTGCTATCTCCTTCTCTTTTCTTGTCCATAACCTGTAAGTGGATTAGGAAGACTCAATTCTCATAGCCACTCATACTTGTAGAAAAATATTTCACAGAATGGTCTCAGATAGAAGGAGAAGAAGAATGACCCAACATACAAGTCAGTTAGGATGAAAGCAGAAACTTTCCATGGATATTCACTCTGCTTACTGGTAGGATCTTGAACTTGAAAAAAAATATAGGATTTTTGGAAAACAAAAAAAATTGAATCCTACATTACGATGGAGGAAATTACATAATGATCTTGTCAACGCTGATGAGAGCATGTTGCTTTTCGCCCAGAATGCATAAATACAAGAAATTGCAATCCAATATGATGTTTAGGTTAACATTCTTGAGGTCGAAAGCCCAAGCAACCTATAGAAACATCCTCATATCCGATTTTATTAAATTTTAAGAAGGTTTAAGGTTTTGATACAAACCTAAACCAAGACCATAGGCATGGGACTCACCAATTCATAAACTTCAATCCCCTAGCTGCAAGTTCTTCGTTTGTCTCTCTAACATTTGCCATCCACATTGTGTCCTCATCACTTTCTATCTGAAAATAAACTTGAAGTTATTCAATAAACACCTACAAGAGATCAGCAGTCTATATCTAAGTAACAGAGAATCATTTTGAGGTGCATCTTAGATATTTAATTACTTGCCAGTGAGAAATCAATTGCAGGAAAAAGAAACTGATATTCACTGATATTTCTTCTTCTATCACATGGATGGACTCCCTGCAACCACAAGTATAATACAGCCATCATGAGTTGCTTAATGTGTGTATCAAAGAAAGAACCAACATAAACAAATAATCTTCAATTTACTCTCGAGGAAATAAATCACTAAATAAGATAGCAAGCATCAATATTTTATCTTTAAGTTCAGGCAGCTCCTTTTTGCAGGGAAGAAGCAACGAAAGTGAACCCTAAGCCATCCTCGCATTACAATAAATCACACAGGAATAATTTTTCCAATCAAGCAGGCAGTGAGCCCAAGCTAGACGCATCAGGACTGCAGCAGGTCTGTATACTTCTGCAGATAATCCCTTAAAAAGCTCAGATATATAAAATACTTTAATCTTCCCAGGACACTAATATATAACTGATGCATAAGAGATATTGCTGGGTTTGAACTACTAGCTGTTCTACCCATAAATGATGAGAACTTCAGCCCTTTCCGTTGAAAAGAATGCTCCATTTGATACTTGCAAACATATTCTAATTTTTGTTTTTCCGACTGTCTCACATGTTTTCTTCTACTATTTCATATATATATATGTGGCATTACTTTAAAAATAATCATAAGCTAATTTTAGTATTTAGAAAATTGATCTGTTTATATTCAAGTATTATATATACATATAGGAATATATACATAATCACACGTAACCATATGTCTATTTATACACATAAATACATATATGTATAGTGTATATGCTTATTTCGAAAAAAAAAGAAATGAATAGTGTACATGCACGAATAAATACATTGAGATATATACATGTAATATGTACTTCTATATATATATATATATACATATATATATCAGCAAACATACACAAGAATATTCTTACCTATGTACCTATATATGCATGTAATTATGAGGGTGTTTGGTCAGTATTTATTTGAAACTTATAAACAGCTTAAAGCACTCTGCTCAAAATTAGCTGTGTAGAATTATTTTTTTGTATTTTTTCTTTTTCAGTCTTTTACAACCTGATAATATAACAACATAATTACTGGCAGGTTGTGCTGTTTTTTCCCTTCCACCAGAGAAGTTTGTTAGTTTTTATCTTTTTCTTTTTTTCCTATCCCTATAAAATGTTGCTGATTATCGATGAATAAATAAAGAGAAAAGAAAAGAAGAGCTATTTCTTATTCTCAAGTTCTTCATGGTATCAGAGCAAGCTTGATCCAAATTTTTTAGCATCCCTCTTGCATTCAATAGGCAATGGATGAACATATCCCTTCTCTGCTCGAAGTTCTTTTGAGCTTTCACCTTCCGGTGCCTGTCCGCCATGCTCTTGCTGATCAGCCTCCATCTTTTGTTACTGGCCATCGAGTAAATGGCAGTAACTATCTTTAATAGTCGTCCTCGGTGTTGATGTTCATCCGAGGAAAAGGCCGAGATGAGTATCTCACTGGAGAACTTTCACCTCCTTCTAAGAACGATCCAAATGCTCGGATATGGAAAGTTGAGAACAATCTTGTTATGTCTTGGTTGGTGAACTTAATGACCACTGAGATTGGTGAAAATTTCCTCTTTTATGAGACTACGCACGATATCTGGGTCGTAACTCGTGAGTTCTACTCCACTCGCAACAACACTTCTGCCATCTTCGAAATCAAAGTAAGCCTTCACGACCTGCGCCAAGAAGAAAAAACAGTAACTCAATATTACAATTTTCTTACTCGAAAATGGCAGCAACTTGATGTTTTTGATGAACATGCTTGGAGTTGCCCAGAGGATACCAGGAGATTCCGAAGCATCGTGGAACAGAGACGAATCTTCAAGTTTCTTTTCGGACTGAACAAAAACCTTGACGAGATAAGAGGACGCATCCTTGGAACCAAATCTTTCCCGAACATCAAAGAGGTGTTCTCTGAGGTGCGACGCGAAGAAAGGAGGAAGAAAGTGATGATTGGTAACTCGCAACTCAATCCTAACCCTACTGAAAGCATATCTCTCTCACCCGAGACTAGTACTGTTCTCACAAGTCGGGTAACTGAGCGAAAGAGACGGTCATGATGTGAATACTATAAAAGGCCGGAACACGTTCGTGGAAGATGCTGGAAACTTCACGGGAAACCAGCTGAGAAGGAATCGGCTGAGAAGAAAAAAACACCGAAGCAGGAAATGGAGAAAATTCATCGGGGCAATTTTATCTCAACAGATGAGGGATCCACTGCAGCCGTTTCTACTGAAAGTCCTTAATTTAGTCCTGAACAAATCAGCCTCCTCCAAAATTGTTTTCACCTAATATGGTTCTCAGTAATGCTTTTACAGCTCATAAAGGTAATTTTTCTGGTTTCTCAACTTATTCCACAAAAAAGAGAATATGGATTATTGACTCAGGTGCTTCCGATCATATGATTGGGGATATCTCACTATTCAAGGAATATAGTAAGTGCATAAGTAAATTTTCAGTTAAAATTGCTGATGGCTCTACCTCCCAGGTCAAAGGAACAGGAATAATTGCACTGACACCCAAGTTAATTTTGTACTTTGTGCTATATGTTCCAAATTTGGATTGCAATCTCCTGTCAGTAAGTAAATTATCACAGAACTTGAATTGTGTGGCTATATTTAACTTTAAACTGTGTGAATTTCAAGACTTGGACTCGGGGATGACGATTGACAATGCTAGTATGGATTCGGGTATTTATCTACTGCAAGTTGACAACTCTTCTCTTAACAGACAAACTCATCATGCAGTATGTACTAATTTTGAATATGTAAACAACTTAAATATGGAATGTCCTATCATGTTATGGCATTACCGTTTAGGACATTATAACTTCGTGTACTTGAAAAAACTATTTCCTGCTTTGTTTCGAAATGAAAATCCAACTTCCTTTCAATGTGAAGTGTGTCAGTTGTCCAAACATATTTGAAATTCATTTCCCAGTTCTGTTTACAAACCCACAAAATCTTTTTCATTAATTCATAATGATGTATGGGGTCCCTCTTGGGTCATTAATATTACCAAAACAAAATACTTTGTATCTTTTATTGATGATCACATTATAATTACCTGCATTTTTTTCATGAAAGAAAAATCTGAAGTTGAACAGATTTTTAAAAACTTTCACATTATGATTCAAAATCAATTTCACACCAACATTCAAGTAGTGAGGTCAAACAATGGGAGTGAATACTTTGAAACTACTTTGAGCCAATATTTTTCTGACCACGACATTATCCATCAAAGTTCCTGTGTCAATACTCCACAACAAAATGGCATAGTTGAACGAAAAAATAGACACATTTTTGAAGTAGCCCGATCAATCATATTCACTACCCACATTCCAAAATTTCTTTGGGAAGAGGCTGTTCTCACCGCTACATACTTGATAAACCGTATGCCCTCCTGAACTCTCTCATTTCGAACACCCTATGATATTCTCCTCAGGGCCTTTCCGCAATCTCATATTTTTCATACCCTTCCCTATAAAGTTTTTGATTGTTCCGCCTATGTTCATGTTCATACCCACCTCAGGGGTAAACTTGACCCACGGGCCATTAAATGTGTTTTTGTTGGATATTCACCAAGTCAAAAAGGATACAAATGTTTTTGTCCCAAGATTCGTCGTTTCTACAACACTATGAATGTCACTTTATTTGAAAACCAGTCCTTCTATCCCACTACTGATATTCAGGAGGAGAATCCTCAGGAATATCAAGTATGGGATATAAGTACACCACCTCTCACTTTTTCTCTCCTCACTATTCCCGAGTCCTCATTAAATTTTCCTGAAACCAGTATCAACGAGTTTGAACCTGAACCTATACCTACTACTATCAACAAAGAGTTACGTGTCTATATTAGGAGACACAAAACTCCAATTAATAAAGATTTTGAACCAACTACACATTGGCATGAGTCTATTCCAGTTCCAAGCAGTAAAAACACATCAAGTAATGAGTTTTCAAGCACAATTTCTGATATGGTTACCGCTACTGATCATGATACTGAGTTACCAATTACTTTGCGGAAAGGAACTCGATCTTGTACTAAACACTCTATACAGGATTACATTTCATTCAGCAACTTGTCCTCAAAATATCATGCATATGTAAGCAAATTTGATGGCAGCCCTACTGAACCTAAAACCATTCATGAAGCTATTGCATTGCCAATGTGGAAAGATGTTATTTAAGAAGAGATTAGGGTCCTTGAAAAGAACAAGACTTGGGAACTGACAGAACTTCTACCGGGAAAACATAAAGTTGGGTGCAAATGGGTATTTACTGTAAAACACAATCCTGATGGAAGTATGAATCGGTACAAAACTCGTCTAGTAGCTAAAGATTTCACTTAGTCCTACGGGATAGACTATCAGGAGACATTCGCCCGGTGACTAAGCACAACACTATCCAGATATTACTTTCTCTTGCCTCTAATCTTGATTAGCCTATCTGTTAACTTGATGTAAAGAATGCATTTCTCAATGGAGATTTAGAAGAAGAAGTATATATGAAAGTTCCTCCAGACCTTGAGGCCACATATAAAACTCACAAGGTATGCAAACTCAAAAAGGCACTCTATGGTGTAAAACAATTTCTAAGAACTTGGTTTGACAGATTTACCAAAGTAGTTAAACATATGGACTATGAGCAATGTTAATCTGATCATACTTTATTTGTCAAGAACAGTGCATCTAGTAAGAAAGCTATACTAATTGTTTATGTTGATGGTATTATTTTAACAAGTGATAACATAGAGGAAATTCAAAAACTCAAAAGTTTTCTTGCCACATAGTTTGAGATAAAAGATCTTAGAGCACTCAAGTATTTTCTGGGAATGACATTTGTTCGTTCTAAAAATGGGATATATGTGTCACAAAGAAAATATGTTCTTGACCTGCTAAAAGAAACAGGGATGCTTGGGTGTAAACCAGCAGAAACTCCCATGGAAACGACTACAAAAGTTGGGTTTAAAAAAGGCAAACCGGTTGATAAAAAAAAATATCAAAGACTTGTGAGCAAACTTATATATCTTGCTCATACTAGACCTGACATCAGTTTTACTGTAATTACTGCAAGTCAATTTATGAACCAACCTACTGATATTCATATGAATATGGTATATCAGATCTTAAGATACCTTAAGAAAACTCCAGAACAATGACTATTTTTCTAAAAAACAATGAAAATGAATATTGAAATCTATACAGATGCTGATTGGGCGAGTTCTATAACTGACAGAAGATTTATGTCTGGGTACTATACTTACATTTGGGGAAACTTAGTCACTTGGCGGAGCAAGAAACAATTTGTTGTGTCACGGAATAGCGCAGAAGCTGAATTTCGATTACTTACTCATGGAATATGTGAGAATTTGGTTAAAAAGAATTCTAATGGAAATGAAATTCTTGGTTACTACTCCAATGAAAGTATAGTGCGACAATAAAGTAACAATTAGTATAGCTAAAAATCTGGTATATCATGATCGAACTAAACACGTGGAAATAGATAGGCACTTCATCAGGGAGAAGATTGAAGATCATACCATTACAATACTCCACATTCCTACTAACCAACAAACTGCAGATATCTTAACAAAAGGAATTTCCAAATAACTCTTCAACGAATTAATATCCAATCTACGCTTACTAAACATTTATGTAACCTAAATTAATGGGGAGTGAAGAATTATTTTTCTGTATTTTTCCTTTTTCAGTCTTTTACAACCTGGCAATATAACAAAATGGTTACTGCTAGTTTGTGCTGTTTTTTCCCTTCCACTAGAGAAGTTTGTTAGTTTTTGTCTTTTTCTTTTCTTCCTTTCCCTATAAAATGTTGCTGATTATTGATGAATAAATAAAGGAAAAAGAAAAGAGGAGTTATTTCTTATTCTCAAGTTCTTCAAGCTGTCTAGGAGCATAATAAGCAATGTATTTATTTAAATGCTTAAGCAACTTTATGAAGCACAAAAATAAGCATATCCCCCTTAACTTTCTTAAAACATTCAGATACTTTGTATAAGGAAAAAATATTCAGATACTTGTTTAATCTCATTATTTATCTTCTTTTACTTATTGTTCGTACTTTACAGTAAACATCTTTATCAAAACATGTAATAACTTAATTTTCTAAATGAATGTCTCAGAACTTTAACATAACTCAAAGCATCTGCATTTTTTAAGTACAGTCTTTTGGCATTCCCAAATACTCTCCCTTTATACATGCACATGAGAAATAAAAATTAGAAATCATGTTATGTACCAAATGCAGCCAAAAATGTTTATTTTTCTTGGTTCAACTGTCATGGTAAAGAAATTTCAGATAGCAGTCTATTACTATGAAATACATGAGCTATAATCAACTGAAAGAATAAGGAAGATATCATCTGAAACATTCAGGGCATAAGGGGAAGCACCAGATTTTTGTCCCTATAGTACTGTCTATCTACTGACATTGCTTAGAAAAGCCTATTTAATGACAATGCAGCATCGCACATTTGCATTAATTTTAGTTGAATTCCTATCTTTTGGTTGCAATATATGGAGTAAAAAGATTCTATCCAAAAAAATGTAATAGGCAAAAGGAAAAGCCAAGAAATCAATAAATAAACATACATTGATTCTTATAAATGGAAGAAATTGTTTACAATGACCAAATATGCCCAATGGATAAGAAAACTGGGATACGGTAGTAGTTACCACAGTTTATAGACATGATGCAGTAAGTTATTACATTTCCAAGACATATCCACAGTATCAATTCTTATTAATGAAAGGGACATGTCATGGTAAGAAATACCGAGATTTATTGTCCTTACCAAATGTTCTCTACACAGCTCTGAAGCAATGATTGGAGGGCAGTTTAGGCTTGATATTGCAGCAAGGCCACTATTTCCTGCATTTGCAACCATTAGGGGCAACACATCCATCCTGTCTGTGTAGCCCTCACCTCCAAAGACTCCAACAGCTGTTTGCAATGTCCTATAAGTCAAAACAACCATACTTTCACATGTAAAATCATCTGATAATTGCAAGACAACATGAGGGGCTAGAAGAAATTTCATCTAAAACTCTAAAAAGTTGCTTGTCTGACAAACAACTTAGGGAAAAATATTTCTTCTCCAATTAGTAATACACAGAAAAGAAGAAAATTTTCTTAAAAATTTATCAGGGACTCACATCTTTAATGAAGAAAAGCCTCAGGGTAGAATAAATATTTAGACTATTGTGATGTCTAAAGAAATTCACGAAACGCAATGGAAATAAGAAATGTTGAAATCAATACCTTATTAGTGGAGATGTAATGACTAATTCAATCCTCTTGGAGAGCCCACTTGCATGGACATGCTTACGCAAATTATGGACCTGCAATAGAAACAACAACATTACGACATTCAATTCAAACTGGCATAAGATTCTAATTTTGACAAGGTTGATCTCTTTGCTTTTCTCAGAGTATTTTGCTTATGGAGCTTTAAATGACCTGTTCCTTACCTGCTGCCAGCCCAATGGAGTGAGGTGTGCATCAAAATATTCAGGAGACATGTAGGCTTTGTAGTTCTTATCTCCCTCCACATTGTGGATTCCCTGTGCATGCCTCACCTGAATGTAATGTTTTATAAGACCAAGCCTTGATTTGCGAGCAAAAGCCAAGAAACAAGGCAATCTTGAAGGTCCTTCAAACCAAATATTTAGCAGCTTCAAATCTGTGATGGACATGGCATTTAAACTTAAAGACAAATTTTATACCCACCAGGTGAATGGTTTTGCAGCGGTGCAACGGAAACAAACTTGGACCAGCACCATTGTCCATGGCTGCAACCGAACCTAACACACAGTAGTTTTCTATTTTTCAGCAATTAGAGACATGTAGGAGGGCAAGGGAATGTAAACAAGTCCTAAAGGAAACAAAAGAAAATTAAAATAACAGAATTTCAATACTCCTAAAAGTTTAAGAACCTTTATTATTGGCAGTTTTTAGCACTATGTGGATAAGTGGAGCTTTAAAAGTTCTGGCCAAGAGCTTAGGAAATAGTCAACTCACCCAAGTTCTCTTTAAGTCACTTTGACATCATCTAGAGGAAACGAATTATTAAGAGTATATTTGGAAAAAAACCAAAATGGTGAAATTCATTAGCCAATCTACTTTCAATTCAACTAAGAGAAGATTGAAATTTTGCTAGTATGTCAAAAAAAAAAATCTTGTGTGGAAATTAAAATAATACATTCCAAATTCTATAAAACTGTTGGAATTTAGAATACATTGTTTCAATTTTACAATAAAGTTCATATTTATCTTCTAATATAATTTACATTATTTCATAGTTACATTGAGTGTAGATTTGCAAATGCATTCCATCAAATTCATAGAGAACTGTCCCAAACGCAGCCTAAACTTAATAGCTTTAGTATCTCCAATCAGCACTGTGCACCTAGATAAAGCTTTTCTTTTGCCATAGCACTTGTGTATGAAGCCCTTTACAGTTCCTATGCTTACTTTCTGCTACTTCTATGAGCCCAGAATTCTTGATTCTGTTCACCTAAAAAGGGCTTTTTTCTGTTCATAAAACACCAAGTAGGTTCTTGAATAAAAATGATGAGCAATACTTAAACCAAAAAACTTGGAACTGATGACTCTGAGTAATCAATCTGTATAAATTATTTCTTATATCCTGGTGTTAGATCTTACTGGATACTAACTAGCTTGAAACAAGTTCCTCCTAGGAAATCAAGTCACAACAAAAAGCAGTAAAGCCTACATCAAGAAATTACATCAAGAATTCTAATCTCTCTCATCTACCAAGTTCTCATCTTCTACCATCTACCAAGTTCAGAAGCTCCTGCATTGTTTTTTGAAGTTTTCAGCAGCTGAATCAAAATCCCACTACAAGGTACAAATAATCTTGTACTTTTACCATACAATAGAAAAACCCTGATCATCCCATTTCCAAAAAGTCAACAAGAAAACGAAACATAACCCAGAAACAAAAACAAACCCCAGAAGCTAAACCAATACTTACTTACCAAAAAAACTCAGCGCTACAAAAGAAATCCCACACACCAAACCAGAACAAGAAGGATAAACACAGGCAAAATTGAGTCCAGAAAAGGCAGAGAACGGAAGATACAGAGGAAAAAAGTCAGCGCTTACCAGAGGCACAGAGAGAAGAGAAGCAGAGAGGGGAAGGAGGGAATGAAATGTTGGAAGGGGAGGAGAGAGAGAAGATGTTTTGTTGATAACTGCTACAGGTTGAAGCGAAAGTAGAATTGACAGAGATTGTGGTATTACTATTACTAATAAGCATAAGCATACTGCTTTTTCAATTACTGAATTTCTTAAATCTTGAATTTGATTATTCTGTAACCTGAGAAGATGATCTGGTTTTCCTTGATCCCTATTCTTTCATCTATATTTCCCTGTGGGGGTTAATCACAATTCTTTTAAAGTTCAATTTAAAATAAATACATAATTACTTAAACTTTATTAATTAATAAAAATATAAAAAAAAATTCTGAATCTTTATCAAATTCAATTATAAACTTTTATGAACTAATAAAAAGAAATCACAAATAAAATGTTGTGGGAAACTAAAATAATTTATTTCAAATTTAAGATGTATATTTTAATTTTTTATGAGATTTTTCTGTGAGATTAAATTTTTTATTATTTGACACAGA